AACACTGCAAAATGCTCCAGTAATATCTACTCATCCCCAACCCATTGAGTCAGATGGCCGCCCCTATGGGCTCAAAATGTGGTCATAAATATTTTGTACTTGTAAAAAAGATTTGTGTAAAAAGAATTTGTGTGTGCGTAAAAAAAAGCCATGTAAAAGGACATTTATTCCCTTCAAAGACCTGCAGTTCAAAAAAGCGCCCCTCCGACAGTCAAACCCATCTGTTCTCTGATTGGATTGTTACATTTGTGATTGACATGACATTGACCAATCAGATGAAAGGCAGAAAAATAGGGTCAAAATTCGCACTTGTAACTTGCAGGGGTTTTTTTTCTAAGTCCACACACAAATCTCTTTTACGCACACACAAATCTCTTTTACGCACACACAAATCTTTTTTACACACACAATTCTTTTTTACGCACACACAATTCTTTTTTACGCACACACAAATCTCTTTTACGCATACAAATCTCTTTTATGCACACACTAATCTTTTTTACACATACAAATCTCTTTTACGCACACACAAATCTCTTTTACGCACACACAAATCTTTTTTACGCACACACAAATCTTTTTTACACACACACAAATCTTTTTTACGCATACAAATCTCTTTTATGCACACACTAATCTTTTTTACACATACAAATCTCTTTTACGCACACACAAATCTCTTTTACGCACACACAAATCTTTTTTACGCACACACAAATCTTTTTTACGCATACAAATCTCTTTTATGCACACACTAATCTTTTTTACACATACAAATCTCTTTTACGCACACACAAATCTCTTTTACGCACACACAAATCTCTTTTACGCACACACAAATCTTTTTTACGCACACACAAATCTCTTTTACGCACACACAAATCTTTTTTACACATACAAATTTCTTTTACACACACACTAATCTTTTTTACACATACAAATTTCTTTTACGCACACACAAATCTCTTTTACGCACACACAAATCTTTTTTACGCACACACAAATCTTTTTTACGCACACACAAATCTTTTTTACGCATACAAATCTCTTTTATGCACACACTAATCTTTTTTACACATACAAATCTCTTTTACGCACACACTAATCTTTTTTACACACAAATCTTTTTTACGCACACACAAATCTTTTTTACACACACATATCTCTTTTACGCACACACAAATCTCTTTTACGCACACACAAATCTCTTTTACGCACACACAAATCTCTTTTACGCACACACAAATCTTTTTTACACATACAAATCTCTTTTACGCACACACTAATCTTTTTTACACATACAAATCTCTTTTACGCACACACAAATCTCTTTTACGCACACACAAATCTTTTTTACACATACAAATCTCTTTTACGCACACACAAATCTTTTTTACGCACACACAAATTTTTTTTAAGCACACAAAAATCTTTTTTACACATACAAATCTCTTTTACGCACACACAAATCTTTTTTACAAGTACAAAATATTTATGACCACATTTTGAGCCCATATGCCCCTCCCTGAACCTGGTTCTGCTGGAGGTTTCTTCCTGTTAAAGGGGAGTTTTTCCTTGCCATTGTTGCCAAAGCGCTTGCTCATAACACTAATGATTAATCAAGATTTAGGAAGGTCAGAGCCAAACTGGTACATCTGTTTCACAACGGATGTGATCATTCTCAGTCCGAAGGAAAGGCTTATGTCCAGGGATTGACCTCCTCAGACTCATCAGATGTATTTTTGTCCACTAGTGGATCTGTATCGTCCTCAGGAAGATGCTCATCCATATTGCTTTGCTGTTCTGGTTCTTCCTCATCTTCAGCAAAGATATGATCCCCATTTCATACTCATCACAAACATCATGACTTTCACCAGAGCATTTTATAATTTAGTGAAATTCTATTTTTTGTGTCTTTCTGTTTAATTAGAGATTCCTGACAAAGTCAAATAAAACCTTGGTCCAATAAACAAATGTAAAAGAGACTTTTATGCATCTAAAAACTAAAAGCTGGGCAGGGTTTTTTAACACAACAGGAAGGTTTTTGTTTTACCAGTTTCTTTTTTTTTTTTTTTTTTTTTTTTTAAATGACATCAGAAACAGCAATATGCGACATTACATGATGGCAGAGCTTCAGTTCATCCTTTGTCATTTTTTTTTTTTTTTTTTAATAAATAGGACAGGGGGAATGAATGAGAGAAAGAAAGAAAACCAAAGGGGAGAAGAGACGGTGAGAAGGGGGGGAAGAGAGAGAAAAAAAAAAGAACTCCTGGGTCACCTGTATGGAGAAAAAAAAAAAAAACAAACAAAAAAAACAAACAGAGGAGACAGCAAACAACAAAGAGCAACATAATAATAGAGAAAACAAAGCACCATCACAATAAACTAGCTAGTCATAGATATCAATATTTACTAAATAATAAATGATATTGTGCAGCATGCAAGATAGACAGCGCACAGTGTGCTTTGAGGCAGCAGCCAAGAAAGCTTTAGTCCGCGTCTGTGAATACCCATGTGTGCATACCTGTGTGGATCAGCATGCTTGCATTCCAAAGGTTTCTCCATGTAATGATCTGCTAGGGAGTGTGGGGGGGCCACAGCCCCGTCCTCCAGGGTGTGAAGTGGGTATGGAGGAGATCAAAACTCCAGACATCCAGAGGCCCCCAGAACACAAGAGACCATGGAAGACCAACAGAGGGGCAGCCGCGCCACTGTTCCAGTAAGAGCTGAGGAGAGTCCCAGATGAGGGCTTGCCCAGCAGCCGCGGAGCAGAAGTCAGGGGGAGTTGCAGTGACGCGCCCGTGAGCTCCGCCGGCCCCCAGCTGCGCCTGAGTGACCGGGCCCCAGGCCGAGAGGCCGGGGGCACCCCACCCCCAAAGGGGCCCGAGCGAGCCCCAGGCCCCAGGCCCCGACAAGCGGCCGCCAAGGAGTGAGCCCGGACGCCCACCCCCAGACACAAAGAACCACCAACACACCGACACCTGAGGGAGTCCGCCACCGGCAGGGGAAGTGGTGGTGGGTGGAGATAGGCCTCCAAACCTTGGTTTTACCAGTTTCACCATGAAATAGACATGAAATTAACAGCCATCACATTGCCAGCTGTGTGACTCCACTGAAGCTCCTCTGGCACAGTTGTTTTGTTTGCTGCCACCTCCTGGCAGCTTCCTGTCACTGCTCAGTTTGTCCTGAAGCTGAGCAGCTCCACAATGAACACAGGTCAGTGTTTAAAGATGGATATTTATTGAATAAACTGGAATTCATTTTATTAGTCATAATGCTGATTTCCGCTCACACTGGGAATAAAGTGGGTAAGAGTTTGACTCTAGCTAGATAGATAGATAGATAGATAGATAGATAGATAGATAGATAGATAGATAGATAGATAGATAGATAGATAGATAGATAGATAGATAGATAGATAGATAGATAGATAGATAGATAGATATACACACACAACTTCTTCCTCCTATCTGCTTATCATCTGTATTTGTGATGGACCATCACCCTGATCCTGGACTGTCAGGCTACAGACAACCAACCAGGACATTTCACTCACTCAGCAGCTCACGTATCATGTCTCACGTGAAGAAAGTTGGAAACGAAACTCAATGGACTGTTGGCAGTTAGCTGACATACTTTTAAAGTGAGAAAAAATGATTTGAAGAAACAGAGGGATAATCTGGGAACAAGACACAGGAGGAGAGCACAGCTGGGAGCAATCACAAACACCGAGACACAAAACTGAAAACACTAACATAACACACAAGACTGTATCCCCAAGGACACATGGTGTAATGCCTTTATTTTTCAGGGCTGTGCCCACTTATACTACACTATATAACTTTATAATACTTATTAATAAAAAGCATAGCATTATTGAGGCACTGCAAATGATCTAATCTTAACAGGATCCACATACGTATTTGAGCAGCTATTCCCCAGCAAAAACCGCTCACGCCTCACAGACGACAGCTTACAGTCCTGCGTAGGGATGGGCACCGGTGTCCGGTGCCATGATGGGACCGGTTCTGACATAAACGGTAGTAACCAGACCGAAAAGCAGCACACATTTCGGTGCTTTATTTCGGTGCTTTTTTTTCCTGAGCTGTGATACACTTTAGATTCTAGCCAATAATTTTACATTTCCGAGGATAGTAGGCGGGTCCAGGTACGTACGTTCTTTTAGAGCAGAGCTACAGATTAAAAATGCCCAAGACGAAGCGGTCAAAAGTCTTGCTGTACTTCACAGCAAAATATGCAAACTCAGCAGCCTGCAACAAGTACTTTAAGCTGATACTGTGATACTGTCAAAGGAGGTAACACCTCAAATCCGATGAAACACCTGGCGACGCATAGCGTTTTTGTTTTTTTTAAAGCCGAGAAATGCGCCATATTTGATAGCTTGCTGCGAGACCTCACACCGTGCACATCTACTGCGGTTGTCCTGCGTAAAGATGAAAGTGACTTCGTACAGCCCCGGTCTGCTAACACTGTGCGTAGAGGTTCATGAGCAGAAGTCCCACTGTAAACATATCACGGCAGACCCGACGATGCTTAATAACGAAGAACATTAAAACATTACTGTTGGCCACATGTCGGCAAAGTTATGTGACATTAGTGATGTTTGTACTTTCAGCGTCAGCTTGGTTTTTAAAGCCTTTGCTTTATACGCCGTTAGATAGTCGACCTCAATCTTACAGAGAATCTGACGATTTTGTGGATAATTAAAGTCAGTCATACATCCACAAACACAACAAGCTGAAAGTCAGTGATGCTGCTCGGTTTGCAGTCCTGAATATCACGGCACAAGCAGGATTCACTGCACTGTTAATGTGAGCTATGTTATATTGCTGCCTCTGTTCGGTGGTGTCGAGCCAAACGGACTTTAACGTGTGTTTGAACGAGCTGACGGTTCAAACTTAATACAGTATGCTCGGATATAAAGCCTGACGGATAGCAGATGGTCAAGATATTGGTGGCACATACGACACGTGTACGACATGGGTATGCTGATATACTTATTTCATACATTTATATCTCATAAATTCTTTTTATGCATCTCCCACATTTATTTTGCTGAAGGTGGCATTTAGACTTTTAACAGTGGTTGCACTTTGTGTTTGTCTGTGTAGGACAAGTCCTTCGAGAAATGTCAAAGGGTATCATCACGTTGTTTCCATACCTGGCTTATCCTAGGAGAAGGTTTGGCTATGTAAGTACAAGCTTGGCTATGGATTGAGTAATACTGAAGCTGGGGTTGTTTTTTTTTTTGCATGTCTTCCATCTGTGCTGCATTTTATATTAACTCTGATAGTGGAGCTATCAGGTAGCTCAACTGTAGATGCCGCCTCTGTATCCACCCCTCCTGGGTGTGGAGAGTGGAGCGGATGTACATAAAGAGAGACAGAGTGGTGTCCTCACAGAGACACCAACAGACAGATCTGTCCAAGTACTGCAGATCCACCAGATAGTCTCCTGAACATCAGCTTTCATCCTCCATCAGAGCTGCAGAAGGTAAGACGAGCTGCGCACTTGTACTCTTATTCTTCCTCTAACACAGGGGTCTCAAACTGAAGTCCTTGAGGGCTGGTGACTTGAAACATATCCATGTGTCCCTGTTGCAACACACCTGAATGTAATTAGTAGGTCATTGGCAAGAGTATAGAACTTGACTGCATGCTGAAGTGGCAACCCCTAACGCTACTCAATTAAATTTAAATAAATGTAAGTGTTTGGAAAATTGTACTTCTAAAAGTACTTTTATTGCACCATGTTCATTCACTCATGAGCTGCTGTAACGTGAATCAAATGGCTGAATTTCCACCTCAGCATGCAGTAGAGTTCTATCGAGTCTGCTAATGACATACTAATTGTATTCAGGTAAGTTGCAACAGGGACACATTGAAAAGATTCAATACACCGACCCTCGAGGACTGGAGTTTGAGACCCCTGCTCCAACAGAACTGCTCAGCTGGCATAGATACCACACATCAATTTTATGCCTGTTAACAAGCTGCATAAGCTGGACAATACACATACAGAAACAGTTTGAGATCAACATGCAGCTCTGAGGCCTTATCAACAGATATAACAGATAAAGTTAAGGAAACACGAACATAAACTTTAGATTTTTTTCATTTCATTTAACTATTTATTTTTATCTTCATTTAAAAAATAAATTCAGTGTTTTTGGCTCATAGTAATCACTCCTCTTGTGCTTTTGTCCTAATTGGATTGACTGTAAGATACTCAAAACCTGTTATTGTGATGACGTCCTGATCACTTTTAAATCACCTTATACTTATTCTCATATGGCTTTAAAAGCTAAGACCTTTTTCTTTCTTCTTTACCCAAAAACTGGGTTTGAAAGTCCTTGAATATCAATGGTGTCTAAGATTACCCACATTTTTCTTTACCAAAGACATCAACTTTTTCCACGAGTGTCTAGTTACCAAAGTTTTTCACTACCAGAAATACCTGCCTCCTTTATTTTGTGCCATGTTATTACCTAATAAAGACATGCTTCAGAACTCTTCAGTTGCATCTTTCAACACTTACTAGAGCATAGGGCAAACGGTATTAACTTAATTCTTTACTTGTGAATAGAACACCTTAAATTTGTGCTGAATTCATATAGAACATTTATTGTGTGAATATCAACATTGCTATTTTAAATATTATAACAGCATATTTTTACTACGTCTCAATCATCCAGGTAAGTAAATCTCCAAAAGTTGATTCTGTTCATCTGGACGTAGCGTTTTGTGGGAGAAATGTTTCATCACTCATCCAAGTGACTTCTTCAGTCTCAGCTGACTGCAGGTTTCGCCAATCGTATAAACAGCACATTTGCATAATGACTGAAACCAGCCCACTGAAGGAACAATGGGCTGGGAGGTCAGTTCGTTAATCTTTACTGTGCAAATTCTCATGACCACAACAACCACTGACCAAAACCCACTGATCAATGGCCACTTATCAATGACCATGAGTACCATTCACAGAGAGTTGGGGAATGGCCGCAATCACAGCATTGATTGTAACATTGTAAGATGGTGAAAGATGTACCCTTAGCCCCCCTCCTCAATTCAGAGATGGTGATCCCGCATGTGTCAGGAGGATCAGAGCAGTTGAGACGCATTATTCTAAACATGCATTCTGTAGCTTTTAAACCCCAAAACACGCTGCGCCAAAAATTGGTCCACCCCAAGGATCGGGTCCCCCGACACAAACAGAGCAACATAGTGTACGCTGTGAAGTGCCAGGAGGATTGCCAGGATTTATACATTGGGGAAACCAAACAACCTCTGGCGAAGCGGATGGCACAACACAGAAGAGCTACCGTGTCAGGCCGAGACTCTGCAGTCTATTTACACCTAAAGGCCAGTGGACACTCTTTCAAGGATGAGGATGTACACATCCTGGACAGGGAGGAACGCTGGTTTGAGCGCAGAGTTAAGGAGGCCATTTAAGTGAAAAGGGAAAGACCACCTCTGAATCGAGGAGGGGGCCTAAGGGTACATCTTTCACCATCTTACAATGCTGTGATTGCAGCCATTCCCCAACTCTCTGTGAATGGGACTCATGGCCATTGATCAGTGGACTTTGATCAGTGGGTTTTGGTCAGTGGTTGTTGATCAATGGTCATGAGAATTTGCATAATTAAGATTAACCTCCTAAGATCCAAACTCTTCCATGGCATACATTTTTAATTTCTCTTTGATATTTGGGCATATTGGGGCCCGATGAATGTAAAAACAAAGAATTACCAGATCATTTTTTTTACCTTATTTTTGTTTTTAAGAGAAATCAGAGCCACATAAGGATATTTGATTAAAATTTTGATAGAACAGTAGCAGTATGGTGTCCTCGTAAGTGGATATCAGGCCCTTGTAGAGCAAAATTGAGTATTTTGGTCTAAATAACCCAAAATGTGATGTCCACGTATGTGGACGGCAGGTAGGAGGTTAAGGAACTGACCTCACAGCCCATTGTTCCTTCAGTGGGCTGGTTTCAGTCATTATGCAAATGTACTGTTTATACGATTGGGGAAACCTGCAGTCAGCTGAGACTGAAGAAGTCACTTGGATGAGTGACCAAATGTTTCTCCCACAAAACGCTACATCCAGATGAACAGAATCAACTTTTGGAGATATTTTTACTACATTGTTGTCTTAACCAAATTTTGGTTGTTGGGAATCTTCCACATTTCCATTTTTGTTGGTACCAAATTCTTCAAAAATAAACAGGTTTGTTCAAACTTTAGATGTCCATTAAATGACTCAATAAAACTGTAATACTTTTTTAAGCAGAATTAAAAAGTGACTCCTATCACCCACAACCGCACTGTATCACAAAGACACACACAAGTTATTACGCTCGAGGCAAATAGCAAACTGTACACATCAAAAGGAAATAATGTATGGTATTTATCAGTCAATACAGTATATCAAGTCACAAATGATTATATTTTCTTCTTTGGATGGTGAGGGTTTCAAACATTTAGATAAACAAATGGAAACTTACAGACATTCCATCCACCTTGTGGGATGATGTACAATATTAGGATGAATACCAAGTTTTGATGATGGGAGAATGGGATTGTGACTTTCTATCCAATCAGAGATATCCAACTACGTGTGTGGTGTGTCTTACAGCTCCGTCGCCTGATTGGCTCTCTGCAACATGCTCCACCCCCTGCTCATCCTGTCTCTTCTCAGCTTGCTGACAGCAGGTAAGCTAAAACAGCTGGCAGTCAATTAAAAGCCATTTGGGGGTGACATTTAGTTTGTGACCAGCATTTTTTTTCCTTAAAAGAATATTTGATCTTTGTGATAAAACAGGTTGATCAGGACCTGACAATAAAGTGTGAAATTTTGCATGTGTGTCTGTTATGATTATCTGGGTCTCACACAAAGACCAAAATCACTCCTCTTCAGAAGGAAGTTACCTCGATCATTTACCTTTGATCATTCTCCATTTGAATTTATACTGAAAGTCATGTCCTATTCATGTATTTAGGAGATCTTCATTTACCCTGAAAAAAATCTTAGTGTCTTCTCTTCAGCACGGTAACCAAGCTGACAAAAAGTCATTTATGTTGAGCAAACCATTCCTTTAACATTAACTAACAAGGACTTCATGAATTTCTTCACACAGAAAACCAATCAAGGAAAAAGTATTTGTGACAATTATGTACAGCTGCTTTCAGTACTATTTACCATCCACTGACACTGCTCTGTTTTGTGTGGTCAACCACTTCATGGCTGAGTTGCAGTCACTCCGTATCGCAGGTGGGATCCTGTCAAGGTTACATGAAACAACCAAACAAAGTACATTACAAAGACCATAAATAGCAACCCTTAGGCCTGTGAGGTCATTCAGCCTTTAACCCCAACCATCCTGCAAATTTTAAACAACAACTTAAGTCCTTGGTAAACAGTGTTGGGGAGTAACGGAATACATGTACCGCCGTTACGTATTTAAAATACAAAATATGAGTAACTGTATTCCGTTACAGTTACCGTTTAAAAGGGTGGTATTCAGAATACAGTTACTTTGTTGAAATAAATGGATTACACTGCGGTACTTTCCTGTTTCATATTGTCGCGGGTCAGGACTGTTTGGGTTTTGTTTGACAGCTACAGCGTTACGGTTTCCATGGTTACAGGGCGACGCTCTCTCTCTCTCTCTTCGACTGTGTGTTTCCTGGGTGAGAGAGCGCCTTTTCGTTGTCGTTGTTGTTGTTGTTGTTGTTGTGCTAAGCTAACAGGCAGAATGCTACAAGCATAGCTCTAAAGAATGTAGCATCATGGGCAGTGTAGTCCGTGTTGCAGGGAGAATGGACTGCCATACACGTTATGGGTCTGTGAGCGCGAGGAGGGAGAAAAAGGGGAGTGGAAAGGTACGAGTTGTCCTCAAGGAAAAACAGGAGCTGGAAGCATGTAAATATAATAATAACCACTGCAGCCAAGAAGAGTGCCTGACGAGCCCAGTTGTAAGTAAGCTATTAAGACTCGACTGTACACCGCGTTCGTGTTTTCCTCCGAAAACAATAAGCTTTGTTGGAGCAGTCTTTCAACGCCTCTCTCTGTCTCTCGCAAGAAAAGTTGACCCACACAACAAAGTAAAGCTATTTTTCGGCTACGAGCCGACAGGGACCCCGCCGTATTAGTCAGAGGTCCCTTTACTACAGTTCGGAGTCGCGGACCTTCAGTAATAGTAATAAATCACACAGCAATAGTACATTCACGTTGTTGTAAAAAGCACGATAATATATTAAGTAATCCAAAGTATTCAGAATACGTTACTGTCATTGAGTAACGTAACGGGATACGTTACAGAATACATTTTGGGGCATGTATTCTGTATTCTGTAATGGAATACATTTTAAAAGTAACCTTCCAAAAACTGTTGGTAAATACAATGCTGGACACCGAATGACGTTAAACAGATATATAAATACAATATACCCTAGGTCCTAGGGTATATTGTATTTATATACCTAGGGCCTAGGAGTAGTGATGGCCAATTTAAAGCTGAAGCTCTGGTGTAAGTGTCAAAAAAAATCAACTCATTGTTTCAGAAACACTGTGTTGAAGCTTGGTTTGTCTGAACAAAGTGATCAATGATGTCCGAAACTTCATTCGGCACGTCACTGTCAATTCAGCTGTATAGAGTGGGCAGTCCTTTTTTTTTGGGGGGGGGGGGGGGGGGGGGGGCAGTCCTAATAAAGCAGTGCATTCCAATTTGTAGGTTCAAGCTGCTCTTCATATTTGTGACCACCAGATGTCACCAAAGACTGTACTGAACAGCTTCTAGTGAAGAACTGTTTTTCAATACAACCTTAAATGCATCAGAAAACTTAATTTGGCCATCACTACCTAGGGAATATATATAAGCAAATTACATAATATTTTACCGGGGTAAAAAAGTATTGTGATCAGACAGAATATACTCTATCTGATCACATTCTGTCTGAATATGGTCTATCCTTAAAGCATAAGAAAAAGGGTTGTATGACTTATGTAAATTTCACGTAAATCAGTGAAATTTCCTTGAAGTAAAGATGACTTCTTTTAATCCTTCAGGATATTCCCAAAGTGTCGATCCTTGTTACAACTACACTGTGCTGAATGATCAATGGCGTTCAACAAACAACACAAATACTCAGGACCTACACTGTGATCAATCTATTAACTGGCAAGGCTGGTACCGCCTGTTTCTGGGGAGCTCCAATGCTCGTATTCCCGAGAGGTGTATAGACTCAAACAGGTGTGGAACCCATGCTCCTCTGTGGATAACACAACCTCATCCCTCACAGCCAGGTGAAACTGTAACTCGCACTGTGTGCAACAACTGGTCTGGAAGCTGCTGCCAGTTTCCTTCACACACCATCCAAGTCAAACTATGCTATGGAAACTACTACGTCTACAAACTTGAGAGGCCATCTGTGTGCCACCTTGCATACTGTGCAGGTATTGTTGCCCTCTAAGCATGATCACACTGTAACAAATTCATCTTTTTCATCCTGCTGCTAAATTCAACTGTTCAGAAGGAAAATGCTCTCAGCTTTACCGCAGTACTCTCACTTATTCATTTATGTATTGACTGTAAACAGAGGTGAACACAACAACATCTGCACTTTCTTCAACCACACCTGCTCCAATACCACAGACCTCTACAGCCAATCAGGTCAGGCTCACTTCTACAACAGCAGTAAGCAACAGTGCAGCAGTGGAGGGGCACATCCGCCTGGTTGGAGGAAACAGCTCGTGTTCTGGCAGGGTGGAGATCTTCCACAGTGGGCAGTGGGGGACGGTGTGTGATGATCTATGGGACCTAGTGGATGCTCAGGTGGTGTGTAGACAGCTGGGCTGCGGCAGGGTCGTCTCAGCACCAGCAAATGCTCAGTTTGGTCAGGGCACCGGACCCATCTGGTTGGATGATGTCAGTTGCTCAGGCAGTGAATCAAATCTCACTCAGTGCCAGCACTTAGGATTTGGATCTCACAACTGTGGACCCTCTGAGGACGCTGGTGTCATCTGTGAAGGTAAATTTGTGCAGCTGCTTACACTGAAGTCCCACTGCTTGATTATATGTCCAGGATGTTTAGCTGACAGGTTTGCAGTCAACGATTATGATAGCTTTGACTTATGTTACACTGTTTTGCCCACAAGCTCTTTCACATTGAATATTTTATTTACAGACAATATCTTGGAGCCTTACTGTAAACCCAACAAAAAGTCCATCATTTTCTATTTAAAATGCAAATTTGGATGATTTTTTACTCTTTACAGGCTTTGCACTTGAACCACCTCTTCTTTCAGCTCTTTGTGATGGTAAATTGGGAGGCTTTTCAGTTTTCAATGTGTTTCCACAGCACTTGATATTGCTCCACTCAAATATATGTTATCCAACATGTACCTGCTTTTTAGGGGTGGGGGAAGAATCGATACTGTGTAGTATCGTGATATTTTGTTTGCTAATAATGTATCAATACATGGACAGCAGAAATCGATATTTTGTTACAAAAAAGGTTTTTGTGCTCAGAGCATGTTGACCCTTTTTCTGAGCAAGAATCCTGACATTCCTTCACTGTCAAAATGTGTTTAACTTTTTTTTGGCAGCAATAAACATGACAGTTTACTTATTTTAATTTAAGACATGTTTTATTTTAATTAAGTTTAAAACTTTTTTATTTAATCTAAATTTATATTTTGTTTTAATTTACTTTCAAATTCTTCAGTTGCTGAATGGGCCTCATAGTTTTCATAAATTGCTTAGTTCAGAATAGCTATAATTGTACCAGATGGTTGCATTCAGTTAAGTTGGACTAGACTGTAATACAAACCGTTCACTTTGTCAACGATAAAACTGACTGAAATGAGAGAAAGACTGAGTGCGAGACTTTGATATTAGATAAAATGAATATTGATAAAGTTTAACTTTATGTACAGAATCTGAATATTGCAAAATATTTTTTTAAAAATCGCAATAATATCGTATCGTGCGTTAAGTATTGTGATAATATCGTATCGTGGGACGTATGGTGATTCCCACCTCTACTGGTTTTACAGGCTCCATGAGAATCATATTCTTGAGACGTCTAAGTAACAATATTTGGTCACAATCATACTTGCACCTGGTAGAAACAGGACTTCAGGATTAAATGCTTAAACTTTATCCATTCTAGACTACATTTTCACTGTGGGTTCCGCAAACGATATACAGCTGCATGAAACATAGTTAGTGGGTCCTCTATAACCTTACCTTATGTCCACAGGAAGTCCCTCTTTCTGACTGTGAGCAGCAAAATAATATCCAAGACTTGAAACAGCCATGTGACTGCATTAAATGCCCTGATTGCTGGACATGTGACATGCACTGAAATGTTATGGCCCTGTGTTGTGTCCACATACTATTGCATTTTGTTCTGTAGATGCATTTACTAGAAGCACTGGAGGGCGGTAATGAATATCGTTGTTGTTGTGGTACTTGGGAAGGAGAAAAATAAAAAAGGAGTTTTCTCAGGTGATCCTCTGTTCCTACATGCTCATGTGTGTTCATGCCTGCTGAAACAACACCGTGTACGCAAGACATAAATTGTCTGTCTCACCAAATCTAACAATTTTATATCCAGCAAAAAGTCTTTTTGATTTTGTTTTGAGACTAACAGGGTAAGCAAGAGCACGATGAATGAGATCATTAATCTTCTTTTGAGAACATATGCCTTTTATTTTTTATTTGGTTTATAAATCCGTAAATTGAGCACTTTACATGCATTTTAGACTAATTCATATGGCCACACTGTTGGAATTTACATTGTATTTTACAGCCATTTTTAGCTGTGGACCCTGGTTTCAAGGCCTCTCCTTGTGGGTTTTCTCTGGGTAATTCGGATCCCTCCCACAGTTCGATGACTTGCTGTTCCTGAAGATAGGTGAACTGGTGATTCTAAAATGTCCGTGTGTGAGAATGGTTGTAAGCCCTGTGACTGACTTGTGACCAGAAGAATCATCTTTTACATTTGCTGTTGTTTTAAGATTTTTTTTCTCTTAAATTGAGGAAGAGGCGATGCGGAAAGAAGCACCGACAGGCTTGTTTTGAGTTTATTTGACACAATAAAGTGGGTGGAATGAATGTTTCAACTATTCTTTTAAGATATTTCTCACATGTCTAAGGTCGAGATATTATGTCACTTGATTACGGTCTGGATTTTTTTTTGAAATTAAATACTTTTTTCATGCCAAATATTTAGATGTCAAATCTTTGCAGTGTTCATACCAAATACTGATTGTATTGAACAAAAAAAGTTTGGAAACTAAAGAGACAATTTAGTTAAAGATATGCACAACAGAAATCTTTAAGACCGGTACAAACACGCTGTTTCATCCCTGCTCCTTCAGTCTGCATGTCGAAGCTTTCTTGGCCAAGACATTGAACCCAATTTGTCCCCAATGCATCTATCAGTGTGTGTGATTGTTTAAAAAGATGACTTCTTTTCATCCTTCAGGATATTCCCAAAGTGTCGATCCTTGTTACAACTACACTGTGCTGAATGATCAATGGCGTTCAACAAACAACACAAATACTCAGGACCTACACTGTGATCAATCTATTAACTGGCAAGGCTGGTACCGCCTGTTTCTGGGGAGCTCCAATGCTCGTATTCCCGAGAGGTGTATAGACTCAAACAGGTGTGGAACCCATGCTCCTCTGTGGATAACACAACCTCATCCCTCACAGCCAGGTGAAACTGTAACTCGCACTGTGTGCAACAACTGGTCTGGAAGCTGCTGCCAGTTTCCATCACACACCATCCAAGTCAAACTATGCCATGGAAACTACTACGTCTACAAACTTGAGAGGCCATCTGCGTGCCACCTTGCGTACTGTGCAGGTATTGTTGCCCTCTAAGCATGATCACACTGTAACAAATTCATCTTTTTCATCCTGCTGCTAAATTCAACTGTTCAGAAGGAAAATGCTCTCAGCTTTACCGCAGTACTCTCACTTATTCATTTATGTATTGACTGTAAACAGAGGTGAACACAACAACATCTGCACTTTCTTCAACCACACCTGCTCCAATACCACAGACCTCTACAGCCAATCAGGTCAGGCTCACTTCTACAACAGCAGTGAGCAACAGTGCAGCAGTGGAGGGGCGCATCCGCCTGGTTGGAGGAAACAGCTCGTGTTCTGGCAGGGTGGAGATCTTCCACAGTGGGCAGTGGGGGACGGTGTGTGATGATTTATGGGACCTAGTGGATGCTCAGGTGGTGTGTAGACAGCTGGGCTGCGGCAGGGTCGTCTCAGCACCAGCAAATGCTCAGTTTGGTCAGGGCACCGGACCCATCTGGCTGGATGATGTCAGTTGCTCAGGCAGTGAATCAAATCTCACTCAGTGCCAGCACTTAGGATTTGGATCTCACAACTGTGGACACTCTGAGGACGCTGGTGTCATCTGTGAAGGTAAATTTGTGCAGCTGCAGACACTGAAGTCCCACTGCTTGATTATTTGTCCAGGATGTTTAGCTGACAGGTTTGCAGTCAACGATTATGATAGCTTTGACTTATGCTACACTGTCTTGCCCACAAGCTCTTTCACATTGAATATTTTATTTACAGACAATATCTTGGAGCCTTACTGTAAACCCAACAAAAAGTCCATCATTTTCCATTTAAAATGCAAATTTGGATGATTTTTTACTCTTTACAGGCTTTGCACTTGAACCAACTCTTCTTTCAGCTCTTTGTGATGGTAAATTGGGAGGCTTTTCAGTTTTCAATGTGTTTCCACAGTACTTGATATTGCTCCACTCAAATATATGTTATCCAACATGTACCTGCTTTTACAGGCTCCATGAGAATCATATTCTGAAGACGTCTAAGTAACAATATTTGGTCACAATCATACTTGCACCTGGTAGAAACAAGACTTCAGGATTAAATGCTTAAACTTTATCCATTCTAGACTACATTTTCACTGTGGGTTCTGCAAATGATACACAGCTGCATGAAACATAGTTAGTGGGTCCTCTATAACCTTACCTTATGTCCACAGGAAGTCCCTCTTTCTGACTGTGAGCAGCAAAATAATATCCAAGACTTGAAACAGCCATGTGACTGCATTAAATGCCCTGATTGCTGGACATGTGACATGCACTGAAATGTTATGGCCCTGTGTTGTGTCCACATACTATTGCATTTTGTTCTGTAGATGCATTTACTAGAAGCACTGGAGGGCGCTAATGAATATCCTCTCCGGTGATCCTCTGTTCCTACATGCTCATGTGTGTTCATGCCTGCTGAAACAACACCGTGTATGCAATACATAAATTGTCTGTCTCAGCAAATCTAACAATTTTATATCCAGCAAAAAGTCTTTCTGATTTTGTTTTGAGACTAACAGGGTAAGCAAGAGCACGATGAACGAGATCATTAATCTTCTTTTGAGAATATATGCCTTTTATTTTTTATTTTGTTTATAAATCCATAAATTGAGCACTTTACATGCATATTAGACTAATTCATATGGCCACACTGTTGGAATTTACATTGTATTTTACAGCCATTTTTAGCTGTGGACCCTGGTTTCAAGGCCTCTCCTTGTGGGTTTTCTCTGGGTAATTCGGATCCCTCCCACAGTTCGATGACTTGCTGTTCCTGAAGATAGGTGAACTGGTGATTCTAAAATGTCCGTGTGGTTGTAAGCCCTGTGACTGACTTGTGAACAGAAGAATCATCTTTTACATTTGCTGTTGTTTTAAGATTTTTTTTCTCTTAAATTGAGGAAGAGGTGATGCGGAAAGAAGCACCGAAAGGCTTGTTTTGAGTTTATTTGACACAATAAAGTGGGTGGAATAAATGTTTCAACTATTCTTTTAAAGATATGCACAACAGAAATCTTTAAGACCGGTACAAACACGCTGTTTCATCCCTGCTCCTTCAGTCTGCATGTCGAAGCTTTCTTGGCCAAGACATTGAACCCAATTTGTCCCCAATGCATCTATCAGTGTGTGTGATTGTTTAAAAAGATGACTTCTTTTCATCCTTCAGGATATCCCCAAAGTGTCGATCCTTGTTACAACTACACTGTGCTGAATGATCAATGGCGTTCAACAAACAACACAAATACTCAGGACATACACTGTGATCAATCTATTAACTGGCAAGGCTGGTACCGCCTGTTTCTGGGGAGCTCCAATGCTCGTATTCCCGAGAGGTGTATAGACTCAAACAGGTGTGGAACCCATGCTCCTCTGTGGATAACACAACCTCATCCCTCACAGCCAGGTGAAACTGTAACTCGCACTGTGTGCAACAACTGGTCTGGAAGCTGCTGCCAGTTTCCTTCACACACCATCCAAGTCAAACTATGCCATGGAAACTACTACGTCTACAAACTTGAGAGGCCATCTGTGTGCCACCTTGCGTACTGTGCAGGTATTGTTGCCCTCTAAGCATGATCACACTGTAACAAATTCATCTTTTTCATCCTGCTGCTAAATTCAACTGTTCAGAAGGAAAATGCTCTCAGCTTTACCGCAGTACTCTCACTTATTCATTTATGTATTGACTGTAAACAGAGGTGAACACAACAACATCTGCACTTTCTTCAACCACACCTGCTCCAATACCACAGACCTCTACAGCCAATCAGGTCAGGCTCACTTCTACAACAGCAGTGAGCAACAGTGCAGCAGTGGAGGGGCGCATCCGCCTGGTTGGAGGAAACAGCTCGTGTTCTGGCAGGGTGGAGATCTTCCACAGTGGGCAGTGGGGGACGGTGTGTGATGATCTATGGGACCTAGTGGATGCTCAGGTGGTGTGTAGACAGCTGGGCTGCGGCAGGGTCGTCTCAGCACCAGCAAATGCTCAGTTTGGTCAGGGCACCGGACCCATCTGGTTGGATGATGTCAGTTGCTCAGGCAGTGAATCAAATCTCACTCAGTGCCAGCACTTAGGATTTGGATCTCACAACTGTGGACACTCTGAGGACGCTGGTGTCATCTGTGAAGGTAAATTTGTGCAGCTGCAGACACTGAAGTCCCACTGCTTGATTATATGTCCAGGATGTTTAGCTGACAGGTTTGCAGTCAACGATTATGATAGCTTTGACTTATGTTACACTGTTTTGCCCACAAGCTCTTTCACATTGAATATTTTATTTACAGACAATATCTTGGAGCCTTACTGTAAACCCAACAAAAAGTCCATCATTTTCCATTTAAAATGCAAATTTGGATGATTTTTTACTCTTTACAGGCTTTGCACTTGAACCAACTCTTCTTTCAGCTCTTTGTGATGGTAAATTGGGAGGCTTTTCAGTTTTTGTTAAAGTGGGACAATACCAAAATAAAACATCAAATTGCAATGCTTTTCCACAGCTCTTGATATTAGCTGTCAGGTTTGCAGTCAACAACTATGATTTTTTTGATTTATGCTACATGTTTTACCCACAAGCTCTTTCTTTTTTGGACATGAATTCAATCATTGTATCTGTTCTGGTTTTTTGATAATTATTTACAAAATAATACAGATGTTTATTTTTAATTAAAATTTTAAGGCCTTTTTGACATTTACAGGCATTATATTTGAACATAAATTGTATCTTAAGAGATAATGATTTAATTTAATATTAGCTGCATGAAGAGAATTAAAATCGATCATACTGAAGTTGTTCAAAATTTTCCAGTACCCAGTTCCATCCACTGGCTGTAAGGAACAATCTTTCCACCCCAGTAAACAGAAAACAACACAACAAAAAATGCCCAAACAAGTCTGCTTCATACCACCTGTCACTCACTTCTGGTCATTTCTGCAAAAGACAAAGTAGATTGTGTGCTGAGATATTTTGAAATGTTATCTTAAAGATAATCCAAGAGACCAGTCATTTCCAGAGGTTATATCATCCATACTAAAAGTGTGACCATGGTTAGATATTCACATATGCATCTCCTGAACTTATCATGATATCTTGTGAAACTGTTCAAGAAGTTCTAAATAACTTAGAACTTCCAAAATCCAGAAGACTTGTAGAGCTGATACTAAGACACCCTTTCCCCTCTGTTTTTTAAGAATTTCTACCTGAGATGCCCAGTGTGTTGGCCTCAACCTGCACTGTGACCGGCCCCACTATCATTGACGTCCACGGCCAGATTAACTCCATCCAGGATCGCTGTGCATACTCTCTGTTCTCGACTCCGTCACTCCCAGACTTCCTTGTTCTGGGGAACTTCAGGGACAGACGTCGTAAAGATGTGAGCTTTTTGGACAGTGTGACGCTGCGTGTGGACGGGCATGACATTCACCTGGAACAAGGTGGGAGAGTTCAGGTAAGCGACCTACAGCCACAGTTCGTGTGTCAGAGTGGAGTCTGATCCAAAGTCCTCCCTCATCCTCTGCTGTGTCTCCTCGCATCGTTCTTCTCAGGGCTGTTAGAAGCAGTTCTTTCAGAGCTGCTGGACTCAGTGGTTGTTGCTGTGAAATCAGCCTGTTTGTGTGTTTGACATGTTTCATTCAGTGTTTCCTCCACTTTGTCTCTGCTGTGATGCAGCTGGACGACTCCACACTGACCCTCAGCAGCTCATCTCAGTTGGTTCATGGTGTGCAGCTCTCTAAGGACCAAACTGGAGTCACTGCCAAGCTGTCGCTCTCCAACCTCATCATCTCTGTCTTCTTTGACGGCTACACCGCACAGATCCTCTTAGAAGGTGCAGAAGATAAAGTTTAATTATTGTAACGTAAACTGTAAACTGTGCTGTTATTTATTGAGCTGCTGTGTTCCTCCAGTTTGAATATTGATGCTGATCTGACTCATTCTGTCCTGATCCTGTGCAGGACCTGCTGGTTCATCTGTGGAAGGTCTGTGTGGAAAATCCAGCAGGTCTCTGAGTGACCTGAGGCTCTCTGAGTACAGCTCCACCAGGTAAGACCTCATCACAAGCTCAGAGTCCCTCTGATTGCTGCTGATGTTGCAGATATTCTGTTTGTATGAATGAGCCTGAACTTTGTTGTTTGTCGCCCCCTAGCTGTGAGATGCAGTACAGTGAGCCTGCTGACAGCACGATCAACTGCACCAGTGTGACTGAACGGTGAGCAGATCCACACAGTAGGGAACATCTGTTATATTGTTTGGATATAGAATTTTTGTGGCAGTTACCTTGTGTACTTCTTTAGAAGTTTGCCTTTGCAGACCACCACATTAAATGCCACACTTAAGCCTTGAATGTAGTCTAGATTTATAGCATTAAGCAAAGGTGTTCAGCAAAAGTCTTGCATTAACTGTTTAGGAATTACAGACATATACACAGTTTGATGTTTTCACAGGCTCAGAAATAATTGGTTCCACTGAAAGGCATTCATGCCCATGCTATAACACTGTCTCCATTATGTGTGAGTCATAATGTGGTGCTTCAGATTATGAACTATTTCTCTCCTCCAAACTTCATCATTCCGCTACTAAAGTCAAAATCAGCCTTCTTGTTTGTAATTGTATCCCTTAGTTTGTTATGAATCCTCTGTATTTACATTCATGAAGGCATATCTTCATTGCCAATTTTGGCAATGATACTGTGGAATACACTTCACACCGACAACAGTTGTGCTCACAGTTGTCAATTTTATTGGACATTCATACAACAACCCACAGTCAGGGCAGCGCTGGTCTCAGCTTTCCCTCTTTCCATCTCTCGCCTCACCAAAAAGAAAAAAAGGCCGTCCACAGTCTAAGTGCAGTTATGTTCTCACTTTCCTTGCTTTCACGTTTCTGTCCAGTTCATCCCAAAACAGCTCAATGGGGTTTACGTCTGGAGTCTGTCCCGGCCACTCCATGTTTTCAAGCGTATCATCTTGTTCTTTATTCCTGATTCTGGCATAGCTTGGACTTGTTTTTTGGGTCATTATCCTGCTGTGGGATGACCAACCCCAGATCAACTAGGCCAGAGGCTGTTGCATGGCGCAGGATAAGGCTGTGGTAACTGTTGTGGTTCAGGGTTCCCCTCATTCTGTATAAGTCACTGACTCTGGATCCAGCAAAACAGCCCCAGACCATCACACTTCCTCCTTGAAACTTGATGCCATGGAATCTTTCACCTACTCAACAGCATACGAAAATCCAGCATAATGAAACCAGGATTTCAATTTTTGATTCCATTATACTCCTTTCCAGTGTTCAGTAGCCCAAAGGTTTTGTTTCATGGCCCAGGCGAGCCTTTTATTCTTACGTCTTAGCAGTGGCTTTCTTGCTGCAACTCATCCTGTCAAACCTGTAGCTCGAAGTCTTCTCTTCACAGTTGAAGCTGAGACTTGGTTGCCATGACTACTATTAAGCTTGTGCTTGAAGCTGTTGTCCTTTGAGCCGCAAGCTGTCCTCTGATTCAGTTGTGGTATTGGGTCTGCCCGACATCTTCCTGTCACTTTGCTGCAGTTTCTGAGTAACTTTTGATAGTGAAAGAAACTGTACTCTCTGACACTCTGACTCTCTTTGCAATTTCTCTGTAGGAAAAACCTACATTTTTAAGTGTTACGATGGTCTGTGTCTCTTCCATTGTTAATTGCTTTTTTCTCACCATTTTTGTAGCAACACACTTCTTTCAGCAGTATAATACTGATCAACTGATGCTCAAGAGGGTATGATACTGCAGTGACGCAGACAAAGGGGGTTGTAAGTAATCCAAAAAATTGGGATCACCTGTTGGAATTTGCAGCACCAGCTTTCAAGCCTTGATCAACCTCCTACAGAACAGTTTTGAATTGTTAACCCATTTTGAGTTCCCTGAAAAAATGTCATGAAGAGGCTGTGTGCAGGCAGAGAAGCACCTAAAATGCAGACTTCACAGAGCAAAAAAGTGAACTCAAAAAGCAGCTTTATTTCTGACTCAAGGGTAAAACAATAAAAACTACACTGTGGAAGTAATAACTAAACATAGAGTGAGGCACACAGGAAACACAGCCATGAATGAGGGAGATCGCAACACAGACCAAGGAAAACACAGGGCTAAAATACACAGAGGGATAAGGAGGGAACGAGAGACACAAAGGGAGCACAGCTGGGAGTAATCAAACCTGAGAAGACCAAGAGGAAGCAAAACGGTAAACATTAACATAGGACACGGACTGTCAAAGTAAAACAGGAAACATAACACAGATGCAGACTTGACAAGGGGATACAAACCAAGCAGTCAAGTCCCTTGAAACTGATGAAATGAAAATGAAAAGTGAAAAACTGCAGATCAGTCACATCTTGATTGATTTGCATGATTTTATTTAACAACCATTATGGCAGTGTAGAAGCAAAATTACAAAAACAGAGACTTCATTTAATTTTGATCTACCATAAAAAACCATTAGATTTAGAGAAGCACATACGCAAGATAAGTAGTGTTTGATAAGCTATATTTAGACAAATGATTACAGTTGATCATTTTCTTGTCTTTAATTTTGTTTTCTCTGTGGTGAGCAGCTGTGATCTCCTGAAGGAGGCGCCCTTCTCCTCCTGTAACACTGACATTGACCCAGAGCCCTACATAACCGCCTGCACCGACACTTTGTGCAAATATCCTGCAGTGGACGGACTCAACTGTCAGTTCCTGAAGGCCTACGCAAGAGCCTGCAGTCTACACAACCACACTCTGGATGGCTGGACATCAAATACCGGCTGCTGTAAGACCTTAATAAGACCTTAATAAGCTCTCCTTTGTTAAAGACCTGAACTCTGGAGTTTTAGAGCTCCCATGTTTTCAGGATAATACATCAGTGTGTTCCTCTGTAGCCTCTGAGGCCTTCTGTCAGGACAGGACCTGCAGCGATCACGAGTTCTGTGGTGAGAAGACGGTCGGTGGTGACACTCGCTGCTTCTGTCGGGACATTTTTGCCTCCAAGTACCAAGCAAACAACTCTTTGGGTACGACAGCTGTGACATCATCATGTCAACAGGGCTGAATAATGGAGGAAAACTTCTAACTGTGATTTTTCTGACTGATATTGTGATGTTCAGGTGATCCAACAGTCTGCATGCAGGACTCTGCTTCACTAACTCTGGTCGGTTGTCTCCTGGAGGACAAAGGCATCGACTACTCTGCCTTACACCTCAACGACCCGACCTGCAGGGGTCAGGTGGACGAGCTCACCCACATGGTGACCTTCAGCTTCAACAGCAGCAACAGCTGTGGGACGGTGGTCACGGTTAGTTTCATCTCCTCCTCTTTACCTTCTACAAGCTAGAGTTGGATGTCTCGAGACCGGTCTTGGTCTCGAGACCGGTCTCGACGGACTTTTGTCTTGGTCTTGTCTTGATCTCGACGGACTTTGGTCTTGATCTTGTCTTGGTCTCACTGTCTCGGTCTTGCTGTCTCAGATCAACATAGTGGTCGGGAGATTTGGAGTCAACAGTATCCATGACACACAGCATAACATTTGATAATGTATCATGCGCAAAAGCTTTAGCTCTAAGAGCCGTGCTTAGAGAGTGCTTTTTAGTGAATCAGAATAGTCGACTCCCATTGAGCGAGAGCCGGCTCCTCAATTAATTTCCTTTCCCTGCTCAGCTGTCACACAGCGACACACAGTGGCTCAGCCATGCTCAAATCCCTCCACATTGTGGCATTTTATTATTTCGCCTTTCGCGCCCTTCAAACACAACTAAATGCAACCCGTTAGATTGAGCAGTATGCCCGGTCAGTAAGTTACAGAAATGTAAGCGACTTCGTCTGTCATAAAGTTTGCGTTCATAGAACACAAATAGTTTTTGGTAAATGCAAAAAAGAAGCATTCGGCAAAGTGCAGTTTTTGCAAAGTCTCCTTGACCGAGACAGCCGGGACTACCTCAACCTTCACCAGGCACCTGGAGCGCAAACACCCTCAAAGGTAACAAACACCTTCAAACTCTTCTAACTACCTTTCCAACCTCAGATGACGTGGTCATGTTTATGTAATATTGTTATCTATAATGTGTTCTTCAAACATTATAAATTATGTAGGGACAGTTTTTTTGCAACTGTCCCTGCAGACATAACTTTAACTTAACGTTACAGTACATGCTATGTACAGGTAGCTAGCGCTAGCAGTGGCGTTCAGCTACTTAAACAATTTTCATTAACTTTAGGTATTTTGGTGAATTCATTGAGCAGAAATATATCGAAACCATTTCAGTGAGCACTTTAAGGGCTGGTATGGTGTGGTTTGTTGTCGACTTTAATGGGCATATTTATGTGGTTGCTGACTAGAGTTGGATGTCTCGAGACCGGTCTCGAGACCACTTTTACGTGGTCTTGGTCTCGATGGACTTTTGTCTTGGTCTTGTCTTGGTCTCGATACCCTCTGGTCTTGGTCTTGTCTTGGTCTCGATACCCTCTGGTCTTGGTCTTGTCTTGGTCTCGGATTAGGCGGTCTTGACTACAAGTCTACTACAAGCAGCCAAACATCTTCTAGCATCTGCTGAGCTTCTGCTGCTCTGCTCTGTTATATTTAAAAAAAAAAACAAAGCAAAACAAAGAGGAAGCTGGTTAAAGTGAGTTGAAATGACTAAAAAGATGCAATGTAATATTTTTTCTCTTGTGCATACTCATCTGCTTACGAATTATATGCTAGGCTGTTGGTTTGCCAAACCGGTTTTATACGCTTTTATTATATTTATGGTAGTGTGACATCTTAACAGCAACTCAGTTAAATATTATTTGATTCCAGTTGTCCTTTATCAAAAACCAACAGTGTAAATAACAGCTGTTTACAGAAGCCTAATGACTGTCACATGAAAAAGATTTATTATGATTAATTAACATTTGGTGCAAGATTAATAACATTTATTATCTTAAGGTAGTAATTCTCAGAAGGGAATCACTACCTTACCGTAGTGGAAGGGTTTGTGTGTCCCAGGGATCCCAGGGGCTATGTTGTCGGGGGGCTTTTGCCCCCTGGGAGGGTCACCCGTGGTAAACTAGTCCTTAGTGAGGGACCAGACAAAGAGCGATTCAAAAGATCCCTATAAATAGAGCATCAAGGGAACAGTTCACCTTGCGCGCTTAGGGTTATCAGAGCCCTGCCCTGGAGTCAGGCCCGTGGAGGGTGCCCGAGGTCGAACGTCTGGTGAACGCGCCTTAGTCTATGGGGCCCGGCCGAGCACAGTTCGAAAAAGGTCTGGAGATCAACAGACAAATTGATGCTGCTGCAGTGATGACGCTGTACCAGTCCATCGTGGTGAAAAGAAAGCTGAGTGTAAAAGCGAAGCTCTCAATTGCCCGAGGGCAAACATCTAAACACGCATTGAAGCACACAGAGAAACATACAACCATGAAGCAGAACGTGTCAATGGACAGAGAGAAACAGAGGGCTTAACTACACAACACAATGACGAGTGAACAGGAAATACATTGGAAACACAGCTGAGACAAATTAATGTAATGAGACAGAGGCAGCAAAACTAAACACACTGAAGATGGAACTTAAGACTGTCAAAATAAAATAGGAAACACAATGGCACAAGGAGGGAACAAGCCAATAGGAACATAAACACAGACGCACAGGGAGGGACACAGAGGACAAAGACACAAGGGGACCCTATATGTACAAGAAGCTTGTACATTTGGAGTTAGATGTTGCATTGAACATGGAGAACAATTCCCAATCTCTTCATCACCTCAGAGTTATGAAAAAAGCTAATTAATTTAACAATGATATCAGGAGATATAAGTATCAGGTCAGAAATAAAAGTTGGATTGATGCATTCCTATTTCTTTGTGTTGACCAAGTAATCATAGTACCTGGTAAGTTGTAGAAACATAACAGATCTCTGTTGATTCCTGATGTCCAGCATTAAAAAATTATACATATACTATAATTTTAAAATGAACCGACTTGTTTAGCGTCATCTGATTGTGTGACTCCACAGACCAACAACAGTGAACTCATCTACAAAAACACCATCATGACCCAGAACAGCTCCTCTGACATCATCACTCGTCACGACCAAGTCTACATCGACTTCTCCTGCGTCCAAACTCAAGCGGACATCAAGACTGCCACCTTCAGGATCAGAGACAGGTGTGTGGTTGAATTACTTTAAGATGTGAAGCTTCTCATGAGGTTTGTGAGTCAGAGAAAGCTGAAGTGTGTTTGTGTTCTGCAGCTCTGTGATCCAGCACATCACATCTGGAGTTTGGGATTACACTCTGACCATGAAGGCTTTCACCAACGTCAGCCACACACAAGCTGTGGAGTCCAGCATTGAAGTGCAGCTGAACCAGAAGATCTGGGTGGAGCTGAAGACTGACGGGCTGGATGGAGACATGGTCGCCGTGGTGACCGACTCCTGCTGGGCAACTGACCAGCCATCACCCGACAGCACTCCGAGATATGACCTGATCATAAACGGGTGAGACAGACTCAGAGAGTCATGTGGTTTTGATCTCTCTCATGGACTCCTGAACAAAGTGTGTTTTCCTGTCTGTGAGCAGCTGTGCCAACCCTGCTGACCAGACTGTGCAGGTGGAGGAAAACGGACTGGGAACCTCCAACTACTTCTCCTTTAACATGTTTGAGTTCACCGGGGGTTCTGGTGAAGTCTTCCTGCACTGCAAACTCCACGTGTGTCCCAAACAGGAGTACAGCTGCCTCCAGGTACAGCATTCTGCTAACACACTAGCAGCATGTGTTAAGCTCTATCAAAACATACCAAATTTGCATCTCAGAGTTTTATTATCGGTATTTGCATGTAACTACTCCTACATTACTGAATTTTAAAGATGTATTGATCTGGCATACCTGTACCCACAGGCAAATTAAATCTCTAAAATTCTTCCACGGCTTTGATGTTTGCATCACATAGTGACGAATGATGACCCAAATGCAGTTCAGTAGGCAGACAACATACATAACATAAAGCGCTTCATTAACGGCTGTTCAAGTGATCAACCAGGAAAACATAAACAGAATCCACAGTAACAATGAAATAAGGAAAGGTTAACACACAATTTAAAACTGGAACTACTAGACATGCATAGACACAATGATTGCAATCTGAGCACTCACCACTCTTCCCACATTTTCGATCAAAGCGGCCAGCCTTGTGGAGTTTTGAACAGCATTCACCGCTTTCTTTAATTTCCGATAAACCAGGGCCAAGCCAGCTCTGATCAGCAAGAGCCCCGTTATCATGGTGCTGAATAGGTAGATGTCTTCAATGTCTTCAATAGACAGTCCCGCTAGGCACATGATGCACCACTTCTGCCACCCATAAATCGTGTATCTGGAAGGAAAGTCCCTCCAGAGCACGCAGGCTCTCCCAATCCTAGGCTTCTCGTTGAGAAAAGGGTGTCAAGTGCATTAAGGGACCAGTTAATCAAAGCCATAGTTCTTCTTTACTTTTTAGAGGACAAGAGCAAGAATGAGAGGCTCTCTCAGGGTTAGAGTGAGACAAGACCAGACAAGGACATAGAAGCAGCAGCAGGGAAGATAAGGGTAAGGAGAGGGTGAAAGATGCATCCGCCTCCTCCAAAAGCCAGAGCAAAAAGACTGCAAGGGAAGTAAAACTTATACAAAACACTGGACACTGGGAATTAAACTGGTCCAATTAAGGGATTCTGACACAAAAGCTATAATGTTTGCTCTCAGCAGATTCAGTCCTGAATGAAAGGATCAGCGTTGATGTTCTTAAGTCTGGACTTTGTCTCTCTTTGTCTTTAGACTTGTCCTGGAGCTGCTCGCAGATGCAGATATGCCAGGCCCAAATATGAAGGTGAAGCCTTCATCAGCATGGCCTGGACTCATTAGGTAAGACACAGTCTGCTGTTTTAGATGATATCATTCTGAGACCTGTGCTGATAGTTAGTGCTATTCATTAGCACAATGAAAAGCCTCAATATAATAGAAACATCTCAAACCTCACTGATGGAGGGTGAAAGAAAAACTACAGAAATAATACTGATTCCAGCTGAACTATGATTTCAGGTTCTTGAATTGAGTTAAAGCAAATATAATGTCTTTATTATTCCCACTAAAAGTCTATAAACTTGACATCTGATGAGTTCGATCTTCTAAGTCAGTGAAATGTTGGTTGTCTGTAGCCTGACAGTCCAGGATCAGGGTGAAGGTCCATCTCAAATACTGATGATGAGCAGATAAGAGGAAGAAGTGGGAGGAGAACGATAGATACAATTTGGTATGACACCAGAAACAGGAAGATTTTCCAGCATTCAGTGTCGTTCATCTTCTCAGGTGGTTTCCATGGTGACTCGGACTGACTGACAGGCTGCCCACCTCCATGATGATCCCTGTCTTTTGATGATGATCCGGATGCTGGTTGTATGAAAGATTGAGCTGTCTTCTGGCTGCTATGGTGTTGTGATCACTACACAGCTGGAAAAGGCAGCAGTTTTATTGGAAGTATTGTAAGGACAGGACCAAACAGAGAGATAATGATTCTGTTCCTTATGGGTGGAAGTAGCTCAGGAGGTAGAGGAGGTCATCTACTAACCAGAAGGTTGTTTGTTTGAACCCTGGCTGCTCCAGTCAAAACACTAACCTGAAGTTGCTCTCTGATGCAGCCATCGGAGCATTTACTACATTTTATTATTAACATGGTGAAGGGAAGTGTGTCAGTTTTTTTTTTTTATTTGAACAAATTGATATATTCCTCAAATGTCTTCAAGCAAAGCTGGTTGCACTCTAGAACTTCTGGGGACCAGTAGGGTGTCAAATGTTGGATTAGAATTGAGACTAACGACTTGTTGGACTTGTGCCCTTCTGAATATAAACACATCTTTGGTAACAGGTCTCACAAGCAATAAAGAAGCATTCCTTCTTCTCAAGTTGTTTTAGGTGAAGATGTTTTACCGTACTCATAAAGATGTGAAAGTATCCATTTGAGAGGAAAATGAAATGAAATGACAAGAGGAGAGTTTGAGAAACATATATTTTGGGGCCATAAAGTCCCATATAGATAAATGGAAATTGATTCTTTACCAGGGTGAGTCATTAAAAGGAGAGCAGTATCATTTATTCCCTTACTCCTTGTTTTCTAGCTGCTTTTGTTTTAATTTGATTATGTATGGGTTGACTTTTGAATTTTGCCTTCAAGTGATCATTCAAGAGTTATTGCTGTGTTCTTTTTTCTTATTCTGTCTTACTGTTTGCATGAAAGACCAAAAATAAAATAAAAGGTCAGGGTAAAAATGAAGCTTCAAGCATTTTTTTGTTATTTCCACTGTCTCACTAAGAAACTGTTTAGCCCGAACTCCATTAACTACAGTGGTTTTCTGAATGACACGGGGCTCTATATACACTGAGAACAGTGCATGTTTATGCAGGCTTCATCTATTTAACACCTGTTAAATCAGAAAGAAGAAGGCAATGACCTGTTTTTTCTTCTGTTGAGTAACATTTTGTGGGCTACCAATAAGTACTTTGTACTCAGCATAACTCTAAACCAGAGTTGAAGTATTAAACCACAATAAGTCTCTTTCATATATGAAGAGAGATTACAAGACAATAAGCAACAATCCATATTAGAAATAGAGAAAGAGATGAGATAAAACATGTAGCTTCAACTCAGTGATGTTCTGTGAGGGCAAGCACTCAAACAGTGCTTGTCCAATGAAATCTAAATATAGATTGTACCAAAGTGAGAACAATCTCTCTTCTTGTATTTCAGTATTTTGACACATAAAACTTTCTCCACTGCCTAATTGCATCCATCCTACACATGACTCCACTGCAGTTAATGATTGTATCGGGCATCAGATTTAACTCTAAGCCTTCTTGATTTACTATTTTAAACAAGTGAAGAAGATGTACTGATAAACTGGATTACAGGACATTTTGCAGTGAAACACCACATTTCCCTGAAAAATGCCGAGTTAAATGCATGGATCTGTGAAAAGAGACTAACTTAATGCATATATAGATTCAGTGTAATGACTTTTGTGTTGTTCTGACAGACAATATGACGTAGCTTGGCTGTAGAGTGGAGTTGGTTTACTTTGGTGATTGCGGTGGCTTAGAGATTAACGACAGGTTTCACTCTCCACAGTCACGTGTCTATAAACCAATAAATCTGCTGATCTAACAGGAAAGTAGCAATCAGCTTTCTGGCTGCTCCACCCATCTCTTTGTGTGCGCCCTCTGAAGCAGATGCTCACCAGGCAAATCTCTGCCCTCCTCATCCTCTCTTCCTGCATGTGAAGTTGCATCTGTCTCCCAACACAGAAGATTTAGAATGATTTCTTACTCATGATTTATATGATCGATAAAGTTTATTACAACGTTACAGTGAAACAAAAAAATATGGACCTAAATATTTATTACACTCTCACTGCAGTATTTCTATGAATCGAAATCCTTGTACAAATCAGTGAAATCAGTGTGAAATTGTAAATCTTTGTAACGATATGTTACTTTTACTACATTGATTATAAATGATAATTAATGATAATAAATCTTTGCACTCATTAACATATAAAGTAAACAGTTAAAGTAAATCTGAAACCTTTCCAAAATGAATTCTGAGTGTTTCCAAATCTTCAGTCCGGCTCATAAACAGGAACTTCTGCTGTCACGCAGCACAAAATTTAAACTGAAGCACTGCTGCTGTGGCTTCACCACAAACCCACATAACTTCCTCTTCCTCTGAGGGGGCAGAAATCCTGATGCTGGGATTGCAGCAACATTGGTCCTTTAAATCATGTGACCTGAAGGTCTATATTTGGTGTCATCGACACGGCCCCCGTCTCAAAGTGACATCGTCAACAGCGATCTGTCCACTTCGTCCAATCCTCCGCTCGGCCTTGAGCAGCACCTGCACGCACACACATCCGTCATCATCAGCTTCACAAACTCAGCTCAGCAACAAATTTGGGTCATGTACGTCTGCCTCACCCTGTCCAGAGAGTGTGTTGTCAAGGTAACATGCGTGTGTCTCCAACCGTGCCCACCTGTCCTACTCCAGAGGGCGGGGCCATACCTGCAGCAGCAAAAAGTGTTACAGAGGCGACTCCAGCAGGAGTTAACAGTCGTGGCACTTTGACTCGAGTACCTTTGGTCTCGTCCCTTTTTCCTGACGAACAGCTGCAGCACGCCCACGTGATGCCCCGTCAACCAATGGGAGAAGGAGAGACACAGGTCGCCATGGCTCCAGGAAGGGACTACCTGGATGGCCAGTCGAGCACCACGGATGCTTGTCTGTCCCGCCTTCAGCTCGGGGACAGATAGGTACCACCCACCTGAGACACATACGATCATCAGAGCAGAAACTGAATTGAAACTAATTCTACTTTTCACTGGGAACACATCATGTCAATCAGACATCCTTACTATGACATGAAAATGTGTGTGTGTGTGTGTGTGTGTGTGTGTGTGTGTGTGTGTGTGTGTGTGTGTGTGTGTGTTACCTGCAGGACTTTGAACCGTCTCCCAGTGTAGATCTCCCTCACTGTCAGACATCCAGTCACAGAGTCTGTGACTGAAGCTGCAACGGAGCTCCCCGACCTCTACGATCAAAGAAGGGAAACAGGAATGCTACTAAAGTCACCAGCTGGGGGAAGTTTGATATGACCCTGTAATCTCCTCTTTTAAACAGGGGAATGAGATGTGTCTGCTTTTTTAAAAATATGAATATTAACCTCCTTTATCACGCAGTGTAACCGGTGCTTACCAGGATCGTCTCTGGCATCTTCCGCGATGTTTCCCAGCTCGATGTCAAACTCCCACACGTGGTTGTGACCGGGATGTCGAGGGACTGCAGAGCACACACACAAATAAGTAAACGATCAGTTTATCCTAAATGTATTATTTGGTTCATGCTGATATTCAGTATTTAAAATGCTTCTAACCGCCCATCAAAGACATTCAGTCTATAAACCAACAAAAGCAAACACACCAGCACATATATAAACTAATTACTGAAAATTTTAAAAGAGAAAAATCAATGTTAGTCCTCTTCAACCAACACGCAGGCTTTGTATACACACATGTGAAAACCAGACTGAAGTCCAAAGTTTGCAGTTTTTACTTTCTTACATATCCTAAAAAAAATTTAAAATCTAGATTAGCATGCAAAAACTGGTTTCATTTTTCTACCTTTGTTTATTTTCATGAATCTTTAACTGGAAGACATCAATCTAAGTCACTTCTTTGAATTATTTTGGCTTAGTAACAACGCAATCAGACAAAAACTTACTTCAAGACCTCCCAGTAACGATTTACAAAAGGTAAGAATACTGGAGCAGTGATTAGCACTACTGCTTCACAGCAACACCATCCTGGGTTCGACTTCACTGTGTGCCTTAGAAGAATCATCTTTTTTCAAGATATTTTCTCTCAAAATGAGAAAGAAGCATTGACAGGCTTGTTTTGAACTTTTTTGGAAGGAGTGTTTCAGCACTTCCTTTAAGATATTTCTCACATGTTTAAAAAAAATCTCATTTTAAGAAATCTTACCAAGTGAAATCATCTTACTGCCAGATTATTTTGCTTGATTATAGTCTCGATCTTCTTAATTTTTTGTTTCTCATATTAAGTAGCTAATTTTTGCGTTTTGAGAGGAGGCTTCACATCCACCATGATCTTGGTGGAGCTGCTGAAGCTCTAACTGACAGTGTGAAGCTTTATAAAACTTTAAGTAGACCAAACATACTGAAACATGAAGGTTAGCTTTAACGCTATTGTATCTTCTGCTTGACCTTATTTCATTTTTGACTGTTTTTGATATTTTTTACTTTGTTGCATCTTCTTAATCGAGCATTGAAGTCCAACGAAAATAGAAATTTCTTTATTTTTGTAATCAAGTATTTCATGTTAAAAAAGTACTCTAAGTGTTTCATTTGACATTACTGTGAAATTCAACAACACACCAACTAATTTAATTAGTTTTCTTTTTCTTTCTGCTTTAACCTCCTAAGACCTGAACTCTTCCACGACATGTATTTTTAATTTTTCTTTGATATTTGGGCATATTGGGGCCCGATGAATGTAGAAAACAAAGAATTACCAGATTTTTTTTTCAACCTTATTTTTGTTTTTAAGAAAATTGAGAGCCACATATGAGGATATTCGTTTAAAATTTTGATAGAACAGTAGCAGTATAATGTCCTCGTAAGTGGATATCAGGCCCCTGTACACCAAAATTGAGTATTTTAGTCTAAATAACTAAATCAATAATAATGTGATGTCCACATATGTGGAAGCCAGGTCCTAGGAGGTTAATATTAAATGGCCTGCATTTGTATAGCGCTTTTTTAGTCCTTAAGGACCCCAAAGCGCTTTACACTACATTCACACACTGGCAATAGCAAGCTACATTGTAGCCACAGCTGCCCTGGGGTGCACTGACAGAGGCAAGGCACAGGACACAGGTGCCACCGGGCCCTCTGACCACCACCAGTAGGCAAACACGGGGTTAGTATCTTGCCCAAGGATATTTGGCATGCAGCCAGGATGCAGCCTGGGATCAAACCACCGACCTTCTGATTAGTGGCTGACCTGCTCTGCCACCTCAGCTATAGCCACCCCAATTAGAATTTACACAAGTGTTGGACTTTCTTTTCCATCCATCCATCTTCTTCCGCTTTATCCGGGGCCGGGTCGCGGGGGCAGCAGCCTAAGCAAAGAGGCCCAGACCTCCCTCTCCCCGGCCACCTCCTCCAGCTTATCCGGGGGAACACCAAGGCGTTCCCAGGCCAGCCGAGAGATATAATCTCTCCAGCGTGTCCTGGGTCTGCCCCGGGGCCTCCTCCCGGTGGGACATGCCTGGAACACCTCACCCAGGAGGCGCCCAGGGGGCATCCTTGCCAGATGCCCGAACCACCTCAGCTGGCTCCTTTCGATGTGGAGCAGCAGCTGCTCTACTCTGAGCCCCTCCCGGATGGCCGAACTTCTCACCCTGTCTCTAAGGGAGAGGCCAGCCACCCTTCGGAGGAAGCTCATTTCTGCCGCTTGTATCCGCGATCTCGTTCTTTCGGTCACTACCCACAGCTCGTGGCCATAGGTGAGGGTAGGGACGTAGATCGACCGGTAAATTGAGAGCTTCGCTTTTACACTCAGCTCCCTCTTCACCACGACGGACCGGTGCAGCGTCCGCATTACTGCAGCTGCAGCCCAAATCCGTCTGTCGATCTCCGGCTCCCTTCTCCCATCACTCGCGAACAAGACCCCGAGATACTTGAACTCCTCCACTTGGGGCAGGAACTCATCCCCGACCCGGAGTGGGCTTTCTTTTTTCTTTTTCTATTTTTACTGGTCAACATTCAGATCTGCATCTGCATCTGTCCCATATTACAGACACTGAGTCACTTTTACGTTGGGGTCCGTGAAAAGTTCAGACTTTAGTCCTTAATAGTTTTTGAGAAACTGATGATTTTAGTGTTTGAAAAAATGTCCTGAAAGTTGATGAACTGGCTTTAAAAATAAAAGTATTTGATACATGAAGCTAACATTTCACAGCAAACATTTTATAACATTAACTTTGTACCTGGCCATAATGAAACACAGCAACAAGAGCGACTTCTTCCCAATTAATTAATAAACAGTGTGATTGGGCGAGCTCATACTCGGCAGGTCCGTGGATGTGTGCTGTGTTTGTGTGTCCTTACTGTGCACGTCTCCTCGCTGCTTTTGTGTCACGTCTTTGTTGATCTTGTTGTTCACCGTGGTGGTTTGCAGCGAGGTACTCGGCAGCACTGTAGTGATTGCTGGTGTTGTTGTTGTTGGAGGAGGAGGAGAAGAAGGTGTCGTCTGGGTTGTAGTTAGCAGAGTGGTGGGTGTAGTTGAACTTGCAGTGATGGTAGTAACATTTGTTGTTGTACTAGGAGTAGTAATAGCAGAAGTGGTGGACGGAGGAGGCGTTGTGGGAGTTGTCGTATCCATTTCAGTTGTAGTAGTAGCAGCAAGTGTTGTTGTTGTCACAGTAGTGGCAGTAACTGGTGTAGCAGTGGTATCAGTTATAGGTGTTGGAGTGGTGGTCATAACATCAGTGGATGTAGACAGGGAGGTTGTTGGGATGGGAGCAGTTGTGGTGGTTGGAGGAGATGTAGCGGTAGTGATGATGGTGGAGGTCATGGGAGTTGTAGTTCTTGGTCTCTGCGGTTCTACCATCACTTTGGGGATGGCTATGAGTAAAACAAAGAAAGTAAACTTTACTGCTGCCTCAGAGTTTGAGGCCAAAAACAAAACTTGCAGTCGGGGGAACTGCTGACGTGCTTAAAAACAGTGTAAACCTCAGGGAGGACAGGCAGGTGAAAAATGAGTGGTTGTTAGGCGATATTTGTACAGTCTGGATAAATTGTGTGCCATTAACTGATACACAAGAGGCATAAGACCAATAAAACAACTGGAACAAGAACTAGTGTGCTGGGACGTAAAGAAGTGAACTTAATCTTCCCATCAGCTGTAAAGAAGAGAAAGAGATTCAGGTTTCCTTCATGTTTCCATGCTGTTGATCTACACAGGCTGTTCTCAGACCCAACTTTATATTATATAATCTGTTTGTCTGTCTATTGTTTGTCTGCTAAGACATCATATTTAGACTTTGTGTGATGTTAGTCCAATGACAGCATTTCAGAGAGAATTTAAATAGTTTTAACTTGTATCTTTTAACACAGGTTCTCTCCTGTGAAATACAACTTTTTTTAAAAACCTATATATTAATAGGTAAGTGTACACTAATATATAATATATATTACTGTTGGCAAACAATTAAAATATTGAATCAGATTCATCACTGGGTTACTGTGGATTAATATTGATTAGTCACGATTAAATATCCTTCATTTTCATTCTATATTAAAACAGACTCAAGAAAAAGGGAAAATATACGCACTTAACATGTTTATTGAACAGCTTGAACATTCACGTTAACAAAAAACTCTGTAAACATTTATCCCCTCTCTCTCTCTCTGTCACTCTTGGCGAGGCACTTCAAGTCCTTGAAATGAGGAACCAAAGCTATGTAAAGAGCGTGTTCTCATTGATATTAATAGGTCTGCAGTTTGTTGCAATCCACATGGCATTGTTTCAGTCAATATGTCCGAGGTAGACTTACTGAGTCCCCTGCTCCGTGAGTGGTTTGTCGCAAGCTGGGTGACGCATTAGCCAAAGTCCTAGCACCATCCCAGACTAATGTATGCTTTGGGCCAATGTGAAATTTTAAGCTCAAAGTGCTTCGGTGAAAAGAAAATTCCTTCTGGCACAATGTGCATAATGCTTTATGTCGGTCGACTGCTCCGTCTTGTTATTTTTTAATACTCAAATTTCCCATTGAGAAATCATTATCATCTTCCATATAGAGTTGATTGGTTCAGCTGCCCGTCACTACCAGATCAACTGCCTATTTGCGAATGTGCATAGGTAACTCTACTTGGACAAACTGCCCGAAATGTGTTAGCTGAAATATTTCAGGGATTTTGAGTCATTCTGTGCTCCAGATGCGTTAATTACATTAAAAATTTTAATCGCGTTGACCGTGATGGCGGATTAATTTGCTTTAACGCGTTAGTTTTGACAGCACTAATTAAAACATAATACTATAAAAGATTATGAAATCCAACCTCAAAGGAAAAAATTCACATGGCATATTGCACTGTCATTATTTATTTAAATCTAAACCAGAAGCAGTGTGTGAAGATATGACAAAGCCAGTGTTCATTATGTTGTTTCAGCCCAAAGTGGAGCTAATTATAAGCTCAACACCTTTTTTAAAGTTTTGTGTTTTTGGTGGGGAAATTTACAGAAGCAAAGCTGAAGTTCAGCTCAGACTTTGAAGCAGATTTTATCATTGAAATGTGTCTGACTGGTGCCTGCAGTTCACCAACACCTGCCTCTCATCTGTCCTGAGTAGCAATAAAAGAGTCAGAAGACAGAGACTGAAGGAAGGTCTGGGACACTACCGAATCAACAGATCTAAACTTTTTTCCATCATTTTACTTTACCGTGCTGATTATATGATTGTGTGAAATGCAGCATACAACTTCAGAACTCGACAGATTTCTCTTTTTATTTGAAACGACAAGAAAAGTCTAAAGAATAAACCCTAACCTAACCTTTTAAGAGATGGACAGGTGTTTGTGATAAAGAGCTGTTTTTACCTTTGCAGCTGCCGTCTTTACACTTGCACTTTGGAGACGATGGATTCAGAGAGCAGAACGGACGAGTGTCCTTATCTGGTAACAAAGAGAGAAACGAGGAAGAAGCGCCTTCTTTTCTTTTTTCTTTTAACTTCTAACAAATTAAACTTCATTCTGATTAAGTCTGAAGAATAAGTTATTTACAACACCAGAAATCCGTCTAAAAAAATGAATTCGACTAACAAAGCATATTTTTATGGCTAAAACAGCAGATAAAACATTCCATTAAAACAAGCAGCAACCTCCAGAACTAAAAATAAAGCCAGCATGGATTTGATAGACTGCAGTCCCTCTAATGTCCACTTGAGGGCCCCCCAAACTCAGTCAGTCCCCACAGACTCAGATGTCAAACTGGCCAACTTCACAGCAGACTAAACATGTTTCCAGCCTGCTACAAAAAACGAAAACCATTTTGGTCTTTATAGATCATTGGAAACAGGCAGATTTCGCTGCCAGCTGTCTGCTAGGCTCCACCTCAGGTAACTAGAGTCCCTGAACTGGACCTGTGGCATGTTTGTCATATTATGCTGTTATCGGAACATTTTACATGTAATTGTCTGACCGCTAATATGGCTGCTGTGAAGTTAATTGCAGTAAACCTATCTAACTATGGGTTAGATATTTAGATAGGTGTGATGCACCCATACAGTCTTGTGATGCTGCTTGCAAACCAAATACGCTAGCATTAACTGATAAGTTAAAACTTCACCTTCTTGTCCAAATATGGTCACTTCCCCCCCAAAATTAATTAATTAATTAATTAATTGAAACAGCAGGGCAGTGGCTAAAATGCTAAAGAGTCTATGTACAGCCACAGTGACTTAGCAGGGAGTTTTGTGACTAGTTAAGACATTTTATGTATAAGAAGAAATGAAAGCTCTGTAAAATCACATTTTATTTTATTTTACTTTAATCTCCAGGGTTTTAGCCTCACCGATGCAGGTGTACCGCCCGTTGATGTACACGAGTCTGAAGCCCAGGTGACATTTACAGATGAAGCTCCCGAAAGTGTTCACGCACTTTCTGCGACGAGGACACACGCCTCCACCCAAGAAACACTCGTCGATGTCTGAACAGAAAGAAAAAGGTGGAGGACGAAAGATGATCCTGCACTTCTTCATCCAGGAATTTAAAAAAGCAAGCTAACTTACCGACGCAGGTGCGTCTGTCTGGACCCAGGCGTAACCCTGGCGATGGACAGGTGCATCGCACTGCCCCTTTGATCACCTCACAGCCATACTGACAGTTGGCATGGTAACAGGTTTGGGCATCTGCGAGCGTATAGACACCGAAAAAAATCAAAGTATGACTCACAGAGAAAAATAAACAGGACAAAAAGGATTATAATGTTTGTCTTTACTAAGAGACAACTCATAAAACACTCTGCACAAGAAAAACAAGTAGGCCTCATAAAGCTGGTGACTGCACTGTGTTTTAGCTTATAGCTCACACTGAACACGTGCATAAATACTTCTGCGAAAGGGAATCGAACGCTCGATGAGTAACTCACTCCTGCAGCTGCCGTCCGGCTGCAGCACGTACCCGTCCACGCAGTAACACTTGTAGCTGCCTGGCGTGTTCATGCAGCGGTGTTTGCAGGGCCGAGGCTTCACGCCACACTCGTTCAGATCTGAAACTCACACACACAGAGGGGGTATTAAACATAAAACTCCTCCCTGTTTTCACTCATCTTGTCAGCCTGCGGGATTAACCTTTGACCTTAAGCCCTGAGCATTTTAAATAAGTGTGTGTTTGTAAAAACACCTCTTGCTCTGAGACAAAAAGTGCATTCCAGGTGGAACAAATCACCCACTCCTCAGGTAAACACCTGGTTTAACCCTTTATTACCACAGGCTCAGTAGCAGGGCCATTTTACAAGCGCTCTTTAAATTTCCATTTGTGCTACAGACAAACTTGAATCATCTTTGGAAAGGAGAGAAGACGGGCTTTATGCTGACAGTTGATTTATCGTGGCAGCACAGAAGAAAATCAGCTCCAAATAGATTTTGCCATGTGCGCTTCACATTTTGGGCTCGAGAGAAAACTGAAATGGTTCCTGAAAGAAGAGAATTATTTTATAATTTTGCAATTTTGTGTGTTAAAGGGTTAAGTTATCTAAATGAAAGGAAGACAGAGCGGTGTGCTCTGAAGTGTTGGAGAAACATCTGAGTTTAGATAAACTCAGGACTGAAACCATCATAAGCAGGACGGTCGTGTCCTCTCAAAGACAGAAGTCCAAACACACACGCTGTGTGTGTTTGGACTTCTGGGGGGGTCTCCAGATGCTGTTTTATGGTCAGGATATGAGTCATAATGAAGCCTCTAATCAGGACATTAACACTGTGTGTGGGTGGAGTAGGCCTAAGATTAGAAACAGTAGTTAGAGTGTGTTTGTGTGTTTTGGGGGTCTTCAGGTAAAACACGCCCTTGCAGGTCAAACAAACATGACAGGAATGCATCTGTTTTGTTGAGGCAAAACAGATGCATGATGGGCAATCTGATCTCTGTGAAACCAGGAGTCCACATCTGGACCAGCTCCCTGCAGATGTGCTGAAGAGTTCTCACTTTGTGAGCTAACTTTATGAGCAATCTCCTATTCTGTCAGGTTATTAAAAGGCAGTTTTATATCTATCTTAATTTAGAAACACACCTGTGAGGTTCACTGCTGCACTGCTCATGCACTGAGGTTAATTTAGAAGCAGATCCACAGTCAAGTTTTAACATGCATATATATTAACATACAGCTTTCGTACTTTCTTCTCTGTACCCACACACACTAGCAAAAATCACACTAGCAAGATGTGACTGAAGTACAGACTTCCGGCTTTAATTCAAATGGGTTTAACAAAAGTGCTCAGGAATCACAGCCATTTTTACCCAGTTGACTGACATCAACTGCTTGGAAGGCAGCTATGCTAACCACTATACCTCCAACATTCACAACCACCAAACAAACATGAATGAATGACTAAAGGCAAAGGCTTCACAACAAGGTGCAAAACACTGGTTAAATTCAAAAACATGAAGGTGAGATGAGACATTTTTATCAGAATGATGGAGGATAGAAACGGGCAATGATCCAAAGCACCACAGTATCTATCTCTGCCATGGTATGGCATGGCCAGTTTAAAAAAATGTGATATTCCTTATTAACAGCAACACAGCATCTGTGCATCACTCATATCTAAATGTAACACCTCCATTTAATTACAAATGCATAAAAATAGAGAAGTTTGAATAGGTACGTCTGAACCTGGTGTACTCTGTGCTGAGTAAAAAGACATACCTTGGTTACACGCCTTTCCCGTGTATCCTGGGTGACATTTGCACTGGTCTGGTTTCACACACTCTCCATGTTTACAGCCCTGCTGGCAGTGAGCTGCACACACACACACACACACAGAGGGTGTTAACATACACTGAATCATGTACAAACATATGTCAGGCTGACTGGCTGCAGATCAGTTTTCAGTCCTAAATAAAATAACACACTCCGGTCTCTGCAGCTGCTCCTTCAGTGTTTAAACCCTGAACAGATGCACAAAAACACAGTTAAAGCTGATTTCCTTCCTTCCAAGCAGCTGCTGGTTTAACAAAGAACCATCAGTCAACACAGTCCAGTTTATTTGTCGACTGGTTTCCATCACCAGTCTGACTGTGGTCCCCCATTGAAACAAATGTAAACTTTCTCTAACCAACATGCTGGTTTTGCTGGGGATGCTAGCTTGCTAGCATTAGCTGACAGCTGATCACTGAACCCTAGGGTTGAAATACCATCATGTCTGACCTCACAAACCAACAAATGCCTGATCACAAAAGCTAAAACTGAAGCTTAAAAATATGCAGGTTAAAAAAAAAACTACAAGTGACATCACTGTATCTACTGCCTTCTTCTATATACAGTCTGTGTCTTTAACAGCTATCAGCAGTCGCATTAAGTAGGTTAAAAGGAAAGTCCACTGGCCGATCAGTTGGTTAGGGAGGATTTTAGCCTGACTTCACTGAAAGGACGTATAAATGTGTGTCCTTACGTTCACATCGCCCCCAGTCCAACTGTTTCCAGCCCCAGCAGCACTCCACGCTGTTTCCATAGCGACAGAGTCCACGGGACAACGTGGCCTGGTCCGCCCAGCTGCAAACACACATGAACACACAGCATGTTTGAGGATCATATCATGTTGTTAGGATTGGGGCGTTGTGGGGGGGTGTTGCTGCCTGCATGGGGTCATGTGACCCTGTGGATGAACAAAAATCCAATGAACTGTTAGGACAACAAGAAAAGACACAGAAACAATCTGAGGGAGAAACATGACTTGAGGCTTTAAAAAACTACTCTGTGGCTCCATGACTTTTTTATGTCGCCTGTACTAGTTGAGACCGGCTGGAGAGAGAGAGAGAGAGAGAGAGAGAGAGAGAGAGAGTGTGTGTGTGTGTGTGTGTGTGTGTGTGTGTGTGTGTGTGTGTGTGTGTGTGTGTGTGTTATTGACATCTCCTGTTTCCTGGTGCCTGTCTGAACATGAAATATATCAGCCATAGAGGAGGGGAGGGTGCTGTGCGTGCCTTTTTTCCACTCCCTCCACATACTTTCCCCTCTTCATCATGTCCTCCTCAGTGTTCCCATCATCATTCATTGCTAGTTATTTTTTAACTCTGGATTTTCTTCTTCCTTTCTTCCCAGGTCTCTCCCCTTAGAAATGAATTCACGGTTTTAGTTGCTGTCTTTTAGTTAAAATGTTCTTTAATTGCACAGACATTAAAGTGTTTGACTTGTTTGCCTTTTCTTCAGCACTGCTTCTGAGCCAAACCCTTTAATTAGAAACAAGACCATGCAGAAAGGAAGAAGACGCTCGTGTTTTGCACAGGTGTGCGTTACTGTGACTGTCACTGAAAAGCACCAGACAGTTGAAATGTATCATTGTGAGCAAGATTATTTAGAATTATCTAGTTACATTTATTTTTAAAACATGTTTTCAATGAAATTGCCTTAAAAAAGCTTAACCAGCTAAAACGAAAAAGAAATTCCTGACCTGTCGTGGTCCAAGCGCTGGCCCCGTGTCCACAAACAGAAGCAAGACAGGAGAACTATGGTCAACATCCTGCGGTTTTAACCCGGGACACTAACACTAGCACGGCCCGGGTTAGTCAAACAGTTCGCTCCAAATATCTCGGATTTCGGCAGGGAACCGGTACCCGTGCAAACTTACACAGTGCGTAAAATAAAAAAAAACCCGAGACATTTAAAACATGCAGTTGGTTAAAAAGAAGGCTCATCAAAAGTGCAAAAAGCCGCTGAATCCAGTGAGTAAAACATAAAAATAGATCAAAAACGACATGTAGAATAACACAGCTGCGATGCTAAATGTGAGAAAAATGAATTAAAAGCCGCTAAATCATTGCGCTTCTCACTGCCCTGCGCGCGAGCAGGCGCGAGAGAAAGAGAGCCGGGAGAGTGTCCTCGCGCGCTTGAATTGGACTGTGTGGAGTCGCGTGCCGGGGAATAACCCGACAGACATTCGGACAGCGCGCGAGCAGGAAGTTTATAGTCGTTAACACGAAGACGGATTTGTTTCTTTAACCCCCCACGCGCTCTCTGTTGATGCATAAACACAGATGGAGCGTAGGCGCGTGGGGTTATTCATTCACGTCCGTTTTCATGAACATCTTGCACCAATCAGAGCCTTTCACTTCATGAAGCTGTTCCCCTGTGACGTCATGTTCTTAGGCAGTCAGGAACGACCAAAGTTACAATGTTAATAAATAATTACTGATACTTTTTTCCCACTATTATTATTGACGGTAGTACTAGTAATAACAACAAGAACAATAATAACAGTGTTATTTTGTCATCAACATTTTAACTGCTGTAAAAATAATTTAGGCAATATGGAATAAATAAAATACGGTTGACACTGTGTTACTCTATATCAATATTTAAGATATTAACATAGATGTTTAAATTCTGATAAGAATATATAGTTTGCAGTTTATGACCCTCGTATATGTGTTCATGGATAAATAAAAACAAAGGGATAACTCAATGAAAGCATGGCAATTTTATAACAGTTATATTTGAAGTTAAATGATCTCATTATTGATAATTAAGGATGTGGTTCATGTTTACAAGTAGCTGGCACAGCTGTCAGGAGCTGGCTGATTTGTTGTTTTCTTTTGGAGATTACAGTCTTTGTAAAATCTGTGAGTTATATAGGAACCTAAAATACCAGAGCTACAGCAAACTTTATATGTGTGCGCGTGTGTGTGTTAACATCAGTGATTACATTAGCTACAAATATGCCGTTATGTATGTTACAAAGTTTCCTCAGTTGTCTGTATGATGAGCAGATAGAAAGAAAAAAAGCTATTTAGTGCTACAATGAGCAGATTTCAGCTTGTGTACAGGTAAATGGTAAATGGCCTGTATTTATATAGCGCCTTACTAGTCCCTAAGGACCCCAAAGCGCTTTACATATCCAGTCATCCACCCATTCACACACACATTCACACACTGGTGATGGCAGCTACATTGTAGCCACAGCCACCCTGGGGCGCACTGACAGAGGCGAGGCTGCCGGACACTGGCGCCACCGGGCCCTCTGACCACCACCAGTAGGCAACGGGTGAAGTGTCTTGCCCAAGGACACAACAACCGAGACTGTCCAAGCCGGGGCTCGAACCGGCAACCTTCCGATTACAAGGCGAACTCCCAACTCTTGAGCCACGATCGCCCCAAGGTAGGACACAGAGGTCTGTAACCTCTTTGGAGTAGACATAAGGACACTTTAATTTGTATTGTTCAAATGGACAAGAGTGGGAAAACTATTGAGTAATTACATAAGGAAAGGAATGTAGCATTCATTTTTTAGAGTAACATCCTGAACACTCACAATAAGTCATAAACCTTCAAGCAAGGGGGTGGACCATCAGCTGCATACAGACCAGTTTTGGTCTGCTTTCGGCTGGACCAGTAAAAAAAAAACTGAGATAACCTTTATGCAAACATCTTGGTTGGTTTGTGAAAAGCATCTTTAAATATTTCCTACAATCTAAAATTAAATGCAAAGTCATCAATATGTCTGACTTTTTCCACATTCAGTACTGGAAACAACCCAAGGAGAGCCATCAGCACAGATCCCTGCAGTGTGGTGCAGCAGATCATGGGTAAAGTCTGTCACAATATCTTAACAGTTCAAAAGATCCATCCAGCGGGCTGGTTTACTTCCTGTGGGCTAAATGTTTGACACCGCTGCCTTACAGGGTTAAACTGTAACTGACAAGTTTTTTTTTTGTTTTTTGTTTTTTTGCTTTAATCCATCATTACAAAGTAAATAAAGCAAGTGAAGTCAGCGCATGTTGACTCTTTAAAAAAACCTGCAAGAAGTTTGAAGAAGAATTTGTCTTTTAAATATAAAAAAAAAAATCTAAAAAACTCCAAAAGACCACACATAGAAAACTGGGTTTGCATAGTGAATAAAAATACAATATTTCTTAATTCTTTAAAGCCTTTATCGGTAGAGAATTAAAAATGTAGAGAGGGAAAAACTCAACTGAGCTAATAGTAAATGTTTAAAGATCAGTGCAGTAACAGCAGCCACCACCAGAGGGCAGTGAAGTGTAGCCATCTCTAGGTAAAACATTGAATTCAGCTTTGACAGCGCACGGGAGAAATACGGGATCCAATCTCTCTCTCTCTCTAGTGTCTCCTGCCTCGCTCTACCTACCACCGCTCCATCAGCTCTGACTCCACAGCGAGCGAGCAGCTCAGAAGCTGCAGATGTCCGAGACTCTCAGTCAGTCTTCCTACCTGTCTCCATCCTGTCCACCTGTCTGTCTTTCAACAGCAACAGTATGAAGAAACAACAAAGACTTTGGTTTCTGTTCTGGGTAAGACATCATATATGAAACACCTTTTTTTACAGGCCTAAAGTTTAATATATTTAAATTCAAAGGAACGAGCTCAGGTCCATAGTTTTTAATCATGTGAGCACCTCGGATGATTCTCTGGATGCTTTTTCCTTTTTTATTTGTGGTGTAATTTTGGTCATTGAACACGTGTCATGTGGTTTCCAGGTGTCTGTTTGTGGTGTTGGTCTGGTGTTTTGCTGGCACGATTTGGACAACAGCGAGTATGACTGTTGGCCTCTGGACAGGCCCAACGAGTACAACATGATCGACTGTGGAGGTGAGAAAACAGACGGCAGTTACAATACAATCATTAACCGTAGGTCTTGAAGAGAGATTTTGGTTGGTCTCGGGATTAAATAATAAGTATTACAGCTCCCCAGTGAAGGCTGAAATTATTTATTTTAAAGATTGCAGTCTAAAATCTCTGTCTGTCTATTATCCTGTGGCTCTTGTCCAGGTCTGGAGATGGCTTGGGTTCTTCGTCCTCCAGAGTTAATAAAGAGTGGTGAGGTATTCAGTGTCATATACTCGGTGACCACCCAGGACTCTTTCTACCACTGGGCCGTCCAAAACCGCGTCTTCACTCAAAGGTAAACTGGTTAAACTGGGTATAAAGCAGAATAATTTTAGACTGAACAAAATAAACTAGATAAACTGGTCTGCTTTGTCTGTGTGTTCAGTGACATAGAAGACGCTGAATCAGCTCGGAGGTTCTGTGAACATCACGAATGTCCGGCCAACTGGAAAGATGCAAATGGCGAGAACTGCTGCATTCACCACGCTAACATCCACTCCTGCCCGCTGGGATACATGGTGCACTGCTTCTTCTTGTCTTCATCACTCCTCTCTGTAACACAATCCACAGAGAACTCCAAAATCCAGTTGCAAAACGTAGTTTGGCAAATTTTGTCACCAATCCTCACACAATAGAGTATTATGGAGATACAGGTTAATCCCAAGGTTGGTCAGCTCCAAAACTTAAACTGTTTACACAGTTTAACTCAAAATTGGGACCATAATTTACTAAATTATGCTGATTTCAGTTAAACTTTAAACTCGCAACAGAGGCCATAAATAAACCAGACTAGTGTTTAATGAGGTCACAGATTACATAAGCAGTGGGATCATTTTCTATTAGACTTCTTGACATATTCACTTATTTTCTACCCAAAGTAGTCACCCCTTAGTGGTGAGAAACTGCAGGTCTAAGACACCTTAGGATCCGTTTACTTTTCCCAGATCTACTTTCTAGATGTAGTCCATCTATGTAATGTCTGACAGATAAGTAAACAGATAAAAAGCTCTCTCATAAAAATAAAGTTTTCTGTTTTTTCCTCACTAACAGACAACAGAGAGCATTTGTGGCCCCTGGATTCCTGATGATGGAAAAATCTTCACACATACCGTCTCGACCTCTGGGAAGATGACCCAGACCAACTGGACCGCGAAGGTAACACACATGCCAGTTTATCTCAATAAGTCCATATCTCACATAGTTCCTCTTCAAAAATAAATATAACTCCACCACTGATTAAATGGATTTAGGTCAATTAATTCAGAGAATAAGAGTAGAGCCACATTGGAAGGAGCCAGTTCACCCAGTTGATGCCCCCTGGATGCCTCGTAGGTGAGGTATTCCAGTTATGTCCTATCAGGAGGAGGCACCAGGGCAGATCCAGGATTTGCTCAAGAGATTATATCTCACAAATGGCTTGGGAACAACTCGGTGTCCCCTCTGGATAAATTAGAGGAGGTGGTGAAGGAAACCTGGGCTTTTCTGCTCAGACTGCTGCCCCCACAACCCTAACCTGGATAATCGGTAGAAAATGGCTGGATGGAAGTGTAATAGTGAACATTAAGCCTAAATAATTGTTTAAAATAGTTTACATTAATCCATACACAACACACGATTGGGCATATCCAGCAATGAGGTCACTGAGGTCTTCAAAAGTACAGCAGTTTCTCAATGAAACAAAAACTTAAAATAGGAAAACTAACATTTTAGGAACATACTAATACACTTACTGGACCTACAGGTCATCTCATTGGTTGCATTTAGCAATTTAGGTTGATGCATAACTCAGCAGGAATGATAACTGTCTGGTTTAAGCACAAAGAGTGTATCACAGGATCACTAGAGCCAGAGCCATTGAAAAATTAACCTTTTCCCTCGTGCTGTCATTTCAAGTGAATGAATAATTCTGTATTTTGCTATTCTTTTTTATTCCATTGTTTTATACAGACAGTGTTCTTCTTCCTTAATTCTAGTATTTACACCCTACATTGTTTCTGCAAAAGAGGAAGCTGTCCAAAAAGCATCTTTTACAGTTTTCAAAATTTCTGGTTTGACTGTTATTTCAAGTCTAGGACCTAGTCTCTTCAGAAATGAAGCCTTTTGTACTGGTGACTGGAGCCCAAGTGGAGCCCAAGTTTCTTTAAATACAGAACATTAAGCAGAAAAAAGATGTAACATATGCTTCTGTACAGACAAACCTATTTCATTCAAAGTAGGGCAATACTACAATATTATAATCAATCAATCATCAATCAATCTTTATTTATAAAGCACTTTTCATACAGAAAAAATGTAGCACAAAGTGCTTTACATCGTTAAAAGCAGCCCACCCCACCCTCCAACTCACTCCCCACACTCTCAATACACATATATCCCCCCACCCCCACCCACACACACATACACACACGCGCACACTTA